CACACGAGCCGTTAGGCGGCAGTGTCGCAGAGCTGAACGAAAGTGGAGGAAGGACAGGCTCCAGGTGTCTTTTCAAATGTTAAGGGAGAGTTGGCGTCACTATCAGAAAACCGTTAAAGCTGCCAAATGTAAATTCTTCTCTGATTTAATTGTCTCCAACTCCCACAACCCCCGAGTTCTCTTCTCCACCCTGAACTCAGTTCTACACCTCAGTGAGCCTTCACCTCTGGAAGCCTCAACTGAGCTGTGTGAGAACTTCCTCCATTTCTTTTTAGAAAAAGTGGCAAACACCCGGGCACTCATTTCTCCGCCAGCTCATGATCTGTCCATCCCATCTCAGTGTGTGGCTGTGTTTGACCACTTTGAGCCCATCTCTCTGTCCTCTCTGGGTATGTTTACATGGACAAAAGTAACCGGATCAGATGGCCGGTCGGAACAAAAGTGTGTCATGTAAACGCTCCGTTCGGGTTATTTTTTGTGTATTCGGCGCGATCCGTTATAATTTGTGATCAGATCGAAACGGGTGGTTTACGCCGATCCGTGGCCCGATCGGTGCGCATGTAAACACTTGATCTGTTCGTTTTTATCTGATGGTGAAAAAATGACCTGACTGCGCATGTGCGGCGCGTACCTCTACGCGTTTCCTTTTCCGCCTGGCTAATGTGTAGATGCTAACATGGCGGGGAAGCAGAACTGGTCGGTGAGCGATACAACATTTCTAATCGAAACGTTAAAAGAACTCAAAATTATCGAACGCCTTGACGGTCGAAAGTGTAGGAACACGGAGTTATTTAAACAAGTGCATGAAAAACTGGAAGAAGCCGGAATCCATCGAACAATTGAGCAAATAAAAAAACGCTGGAAGAGCTTGAAAGCTAAGAACTACCAAGCTAAGAACAAGAACGGGAGAAGTGGCTCCGACCCCACCACTTTTTCATTTTACATGTTGATGGACGAACTGATGAGAGAGCGGCCACTGGCCAACACGACGAGAAGGGGGTCTCTGCAGACCAAAAGTGGGCGTTTCTGGTGAGTAGGCGTTTATGGGCGGCGAACACTGATTGGCTGTGGGTAACCCTTAAAGTCACGAGGATTATTGATGAGGTAACGTTTCTTTGCGATGTTTGACAAAGAAATATGATTTATTGTACTTATAAAGTATGTTATGTTTTCACTTATGCATTTTATTGAAGTACGTTTATTGTAGGTCACGATAGTTTCGACCGTTCTCTCGTTGTTGTCGTAACGCACTGAGGTAAAGTGAGCCTCCACAGCAGCTCTCACTGTGCACGTTTACAACAACTGGGTGTTGCTTTTCAAAATAAAAGCTGAAAATAAAAGTTCTTAATACTTGAAAAATAAATATTTAAAAGCTGAGTATAACTGAAAAATATGAAAAACAAATAACTAATAGTTGTTATTAGCTGAAAAATAAACAAATAAAAGCTGTTAATTATATCTATGTCTTTCTGCCATGTCAGGAACCACTCTCACTTCAGGTTGACTCTAGAAGACCCCAAGATGTTGCTCAACAATGTTGACCAACATCTGATGTTGACTTTCAAAATAAATCACCTCCAAAGTTTAACATAGTTCATAGTAATAGTCAAAAGTTGCTGACCTTGTTGCAACATGAGTTAACACAAATATGAGTGTAAATTGTCAATGATTCAATAATGAGTAATAACTTATTCAATAAAAAGTCTGTAATTTGTCAATAATAGTCAATAATTCATTCAAGAATAGATTATGGGTGTTTGGTATGGCTCAGTGGCTAAAATGGGTTGGATGTTAGAGAAATTACTTAATTTTAAATTACCTGAATGCACAAATTCCTTCATTTATAGTTAAACTTTAGGAAATCAACTTTTTTTTTCCTTGTGAAAAAAATATCAAAATTAACTTTAAAATCCAATCCAGGATTAAGTAACAACTAGCAACACTCTAACTGTACTATGTTCTGTGTTTCCAACAGATGCTACGATGACTTCTAAAAATGGATGTCCCAATAAACACAATAAAAAAAATTCAATGATGCATCAAATGTTGTCTGAGTATGTTTAAAGGTAATAAAAAAATGTGAAATCTGGAAAACAAAGAGAATTCCTGAATCTGTCTTGTGTGCTTTGATGTGTACATAAGTTTATTGGAGGTCCTGAAACAACTTTTCTGAGAACACAAAGATTTTTATTTTACCTTTGGCCAAGATGTCAGTTTGAAGTCAGGCTGCTTACTGCAAAACCAAGAGGGTTTTTAAGACAGACAGTCTTCATTTGTATTGTTTTGTCGACTAAGCTAAATGTAATTTCTAAAATATGGATAAATCTGATCTCATCATGCAGCATGAGCAACTGGGTACAGGTGTGAGGGCCAAAAGTCTGGTTATGTACTGACTCCTAAATGTGCTGGTTTTCTACTGAAACATGGAGTAGGGTTGACCTTTAAAATGTGAGAAAGCTGATGAAATTAACCAGTAAACAGAAATACCTGCTCCAGTTGCAGAAATCTGACAGAACCTGACAATCACTCATCTGCAGTGACTGCAGGTTGAACAAGAAAATGTGAAGTTAAAGGAAACCTCCTTTGTCCCAAGGCCACTTTAAGTATCGTTAATATTTTTCTTTCTTTATTAATCGATTGTAACTTTGTTCACATTTTTCAACAACCAAAATGGAATTTGTTTTTTTAATGTTATGGCTAGGTATTAAAAAAAAAACTAACATTTAGCTCCCCCACTACCCAGTTATGTTGCTCTTATTTTGAAATGTAACCGGAAGTTCTGTGTTAAGAGAGTCGAAAAAAGAAGTTATGGAGACGCCGCGGCAGTATACTGGAGCGATGTCGAACCGAGACGCCGCTAATGTCGAACCGGTTAACACCATAGACATAATATGCCTGTGGTTAACACAATCTGCCAATAACGCCTTGTTTTTAGACATCATGTGTCTGTGGTTACGGCATTTTATCGTTCAGCCTTTTTTTTTTTCTATCGTTCAGCCTTTTTTTTTCTATCGTCCAATCAGATGTGGCCGTCCAGACACGCCCATTTTTCTATCGTCCAATCAGATGTGGCCGTCCAGACACGCCCATTTTCCTATCGTCCAATCAGATATGACCGCCCAGATACGCCCACTTTCCTATCGTCCAATCAGATATGAGCGCCCAGATACGCCCACTTTCCTATAGTCCAATCAGATATGAGCGCCCAGATACGCCTTCCGAATTTGCCTGCAGAGACCCCTTCTTGAACACGACAGGCAGCGGTGTGGACCAAGGTTATGAGGAGGAATCTGAGGACTACAGCCCCGAAGCAAATCCGGAACAAAGCATCCTTTCCGGTAAGATACTCTTCAAGCCACATTAACCCTCTGTACTGTATTACTTGGTGTAACTGGGATACAACAAATATGTTAAAATGTAATTATAGTAAGAAACAAGAGTAGCTTTAGGGCTAGCATAATTATACCTCCAAGGATTGTACACAGTAGAGAACATGAGACCTATATTGTGGATTATAACACTACCCCAACTAACCAGATAATTAACCTAACAAATTTCAACATACCAGGGGACCAGTTAGACTTTATTTTTTTCTTTTTCAGATGATGAGTCCAGCTTTGAAGAAGCAGCTGACAGCAGCACACAACAAACAACAGTCCAAGAAACTTTCAACAGACGAGGACATCAAGGAAGAGTAAGTTGTGTCTTCCAGATGACAAAAACAGTAACAAATGTTTATACAGTGTTTAGAGAGATTATGTTAGTACTGCATCCAAGCAAGTAATAGTGTTTTACATCATTGCAGGACCACGAGGGAACTCTGGTTATGCAGACTTGGGCCACCGAACAGCAATCCTTCTACCAGAAGATGCAAGAGTCCCAGAACAAATGGATAGAAGAACAACAGGAACGATGGCAGCAAAGAGAAGAAAGGTTGTTTGTAAGGTTCTTAGAAGAAAACACACTCTCAACTGAGCGCCTAGTGAGGCAATGTTTTGATGGATTAAAGTCCATCATGACTCAAATGACCCCACCTCCACAGGGAAGATCTCCAGTTCCTCCCTACCCTCAGCATCAATACCCAGGTCAAAGCCGGTCTGCTCAATTTCCTCAGAACCCAAGCTACAACTCGGATTACCACCTCCATGACCTAAACTAAAGTTAAAAAAAAGTTTGTTATTTGAGCAGCAGCTAAAGTTTCATATTATATATATATAGATATTTTTTTATATTGTAATTCTGAAAGTACAGGATGAGTTGATAAAGAAGTTACTGTTGAATTGCACGTTACTGTAGTTTTAAATGACCAAAGAATGTTTTTTTCTGTTTTCATTACAAGATGTGATGATCTGTGCACATTGTCTGTTTTGCACAAACTTTTTGAATGTATAATTTTTATGTTTTTGTGATGTAGGCTACCTCAAATTGCACTGAGAATGAAACACATTTCACACAGTGCCAACAAGCAATATAAAATGTTTACAAGAATTTATTAAAATGTTTGGTCCATTAAAGAGCTCCGATGTACACTAGTATTATTTGCCGTTTTGTTATAATATCTTTATACAAATGTTAGCTGCATCTGAACACATACATGACAAGTATATATTGTATATTTAAAAAGCCCCTTTAATGCAGATGGCCTGTACGGAGTGGAAACTTGGACATATATGCAGTCAGTGCCTCTCTTGCACCGTTTCCACCAACACTGCACTGAAGATTCGCTGGCTGGTTAGGCTGAGGGTAGTTGTTTGCACGGTCACGTGCCTCTTCCAACCAGTTGCTGTTGCCATAATCCCTCTCCCTCTGGCAGAAGTTGTGGAGTGCACAACAGGTGGCGATCATTTTTGGAGCAAAGGTGAAATGAAAGTCACTTCTTTTTAGAAGAACTCTCCACCGTGACTTCAGCAACCCGAAGGTCATCTCTACGCCCACCCTGACTGAGCTAAGGTAAACATTAAATGATTTGTTGAGGAGTCAGACGAGGAGAGTTTGGGTGTCCTTTGATGAGCCAGTCCAACAGCGGGTATGCAGGGTCACCAACAACGAGGAGACTGACGTCCTTTCCTTCGATGTTCCTCACAGACCGCAAAAAAAGGACATACTAATATTTAGTATTTTACTTAGACATTGTTTAAAGGCATGGTTCAAACAAACTCTTTTTTTTTAAATAAAACTTTACAGCTATGTATCTCTACTTTGAGAACCTTAGCTGTAATAGTTGTAGTAATACTAAATACAATATAGCAAATATTGGCAACATTTAACCATTTGTTTAAAGGCATGCTTCTAACAAACATTTAAAAAAATAATTTTACAGCTAAGTATCTCTACTTTATAGTTTATAGTTGTAGAAATAATAAATACAATATAGTAAATATTAGCCTTACTTTTGGCATTAGATGAGCCCTTTGATAGAGGTCAGAGTGGCGCAGGACATTGGCATCATGGACACTGCCTGGCATCTTGCAACTGATGCTCCAGAAACTGAGAAAAACAGAGGAAGAACAGTAATTAATAATAAATACAGACAGTATCAAGCATAGACAGGTAGAAAAAGAAAGAAAAACAAGTTTATTTAAGCATACAGCGTGTATTTGTCTTACCAGCAGTTGTTCACAACAGCTTGGAGGACATAGGATGGCCAGCCTTTACGGTTAACAAAGTCTTTATATCCATCAGAGGGGGGAAGAACCGGGATGTGTGATCCATCGATGAGACCCATAATATGAGGGATGTGATGGGAAGCCTCAAAAGCTCTGGCGATCTCCAGTGCCTCCATGTCAGTTGGTGCTCGGATCAGCTGTTTAATTGGCCCTCTCACCATGCTTTTACAAAACATGTACACACAATTTTTAACACTGCTCTTACTTATTCCAAATTGATTTGCAATGACTCGCTATTCGGCACAGCTGCCCAGTTTATACAGAACTGCAACTCGCATCATGAGCGGAATTGGAGTTCTAACAGTCACCTCTTCTGGGGCTAAATGACTCTCCATCAAAGTGCACAACTTTGTGAAAGACAGATGTGTCATGCGAAAATTCTGCTTCCACTCCGGGTCGGTGAACTGCGTGAGGACCACACGCTCCCACCAGTCTTTACTTCGAACTTTCATCCACTGGTTTCTGGTCGTTTGTGGAGGTAGTGGCAGCAGCATTAAACTTGCCGGCAGCAAAGAACTTTCTCGGATGTATTTTTCCTTCCGCGCTCTCATCCTACGAAGAAAAAAGACTAAAAGCATGCGTTGCTTCGCCTGTAGCTCAAGCAGGGAGTGCAGTAACAACTCCATCACAGTCATTAAAACCTGTCGCGGGTCCATTTTTGTCGCTCAAGTGTGTTTACGTTCGTCCCGGAAAGAGAACTTCTTCTTCTATGGTTTACACGGAAGTAACTTCTTCTTCGGTGGTTTTTTAAAGAGAGTTTACCACTCTGCGCATGTCAGTACTTCTGTTCAGAATCAAAGCCCGTTGCATGTAAACGCACATCGTGAACGGATTGTGCCCATGTAAACGATACATTTGAATTATTCAAACAGAACACATTTCAATCCGGTCAAAGAATTCTGCGCATGTAAACATAGCTTCTGGAGCAGGTAATGTGCAGCATGAAACCATCTGGTTCCCCCTTTGATGTGGTCCCCCCTCGACTACTAAAGTAAGTTTTTCCTACCCTGGGTCCTTTTATCCTCGCTATTCTGAATAGCAGTTTATCCTCAGGTGTGGTGCCAAAGACTTTTAAACATGCTGCTGTCCAGCCCCTCCTGAAAAAAACCTAACCTTGACCCCTCAGTCATGTCCAACTTCCGGCCTGTCTCCAGACTCCCATTCACCTCTAAACTACTGGAAAAAATTGTGGAGTCTCAGTTGAAACAGTTTTTGGGGGATCACGCTATCCTTGAGTTATTCCAATCTGGCTTCAAATCTCTCCATAGCACTGAAACTGCTCTACTGAAGGTTTTTAACGACATTTTCATTTCCACAGACGCAGGTGATTCTGTGCTGTTGGTCCTATTGGACCTTACATCTGCTTTTGACACCATCGACCACAAGATCCTCCTTTCTAGACTGGAGCAGTGGGTGGGCATCACAGGGTCAGCCCTTAAATGGTTTGGGTCCTACCTATCTGACAGAACCTTCTGTGTCAATATCAAAGATTCTAGTTCGGCATCGACAGCGCTCCAGTGGGGGGTACCGCAGGGGTCCATCCTCGGTCCCCTTCTCTTTTCTTTATACCTGCTGCCACTAGGTGTTATCTTCCGCAAACACGACATACCCTTTCATTTCTAGGCCGATGATTGCCAAATTTACGTCCCCCTGAGGCACAGAGGCACACGCTCTATTCAGCCTCTTATTGACTGCCTGGCTGACATCTGGGACTGGATGGCTTTAAACTTCTTAAGCTTCAATGAGAAGAAGTCTGAAGTCATGCTGTTCCATCCCAGTGGCTCACTCATGAACCATGACATTGACCTTTTCTCTCTAGCCCCGCTAGAGAAACAAAAGGTCACTAATCTGGGGGTGATAATGGACCCATCCTTAAAACTCAACAGTCACGTAAACATGATGGTAAAATCCTGTTTTTTTCAGCTGAGACGGCTGTCTAAGCTGAAGCCTATACTCTCCAAAAAGAACCTTGAGACAGTGATCCACGCCTTCATAACATCTAGGCTTGATTACTGCAATTCACTTCTGTTTGGAATCAGTCAGTCCTCCATTGCTCGTCTACAACTGGTCCAAAATGCTACAGCCCGATTTTTAACTGGTACAGGCTATAGAGAGCACATCACGCCAGTTTTGGCCTCCCTGCACTGGCTACCCATTCACCTTCGGATCCATTTCAAAATTCTCATGTATGTTTTTAAATCACTGAACAGTTCCGCCCCATCCTATCTCACTGATCTTCTGCAGCCATATGTCCCACCGCGCTCTCTGAGGTCAGCAGACCAGATGCTTCTCTCAGTCCCAGAAACCCGTCGTAAGCTCAGAGGTGACAGGGCTTTCTCTGTTGCAGGTCCACGACTGTGGAATGAGTTGCCACTGTGTGTCCGGCAGGCTCCCACACTCTCAGACTTTAAGTCTCGCTTGAAGACCCACTTCTATTCGCTTGCCTTTAACACGGTGTGATTTGTTTTGGCCCGGTCTGTTCTCTACTCTGTTGGCCATTTTAGTTAGCTTCTGCTGCTATTTGTATCTGTATTTCTATTTTATGTTTTCCTGTCTGCTGTGCATGTTTGTGTTCTTTTGTACAGCACTTTGGTTGGCCTTGTTGCTGTTTTAAGTGCTATATAAATAAATTGGTATGGTATGGTATTATGGGTATGGTTGTTAATGCTTTATGTGTTGGGATTAAGGTGGTGTTGCAACATTTTGTACAATCATTACTTGTATTTTTTTATGTGTGGTTCAGGGTGAGTGTGTAATTGCCTTTTAGTTCGTTTGACCCTGTTTCACTAGCCGCTTCATGTGTTCTTGTTCCGTCCACGGATGGTAGGACATGTTATGACCTCCCGTCTTCGGTGTACTGACTGGTGTTTATCCGCCGTGATTTATGTCCGGGTTTGTGGTTTGAGTTGGCCGCTTATCTCCAGGTGCTCCTGAGTTTTGTCGTGGGGTTACTGAAATGAGTTCCTCCGTAGCTGATTTTGTTGTTTATTTTATGGACGGACACCTATGTTTGTCTTTGGACCAGTACAGAAGTTAGTTTTTCGGCTTCTTTATCTTTGTTGCTGTGACTGGTCAGATTATTCTCAGGACTTGGATGTAGAGGGCAGTTTCCCCTGTCCTTCTCTTTGTTTACACCTAATACCCATTTACTTTTTTTGTGGGTTGACTCTGGCAGCTAAAGGACTCTGTGGAACTTCTGTGATTTACTGTTGATCGCTGAGAACCATAGTTTTTTTTCAGGCCTTTCAGTTATTATAGATTGTCTTTGTTCAAGCATACTTGCTTGTGGGGTTTGGGATTTATGACTGTCTCCAAGGAGGGGAAGTTTAGTCTGTACATTTTCCTGACAAACAGATAACCTGTTCAGCCTTGCGGTTTCAGCGATACCTAGGTCCCTGAAATTGTAATGAATTTTCCAGAGTTTCATGTTTCTCTGTGTGAAAACTAATCTTTATCTGCTTATCTCTCATTGGACAGATTGCAGGACACAATACATTCCACAGCTGTGCTGTTTGAAAACTCCTGACCTGTCCAGCATTACGTGGTTCACACGTCATTTGCTTATGCTTACTTTTTATATGATACATTAACTTCTTATCATAATTCATCGTAGCACTGTATGTGCTACATGTGTCTTGTTTAAATGTGGCACTCTCACAAGACATTCTGAGGTCTCATGTGGTAACCATCTACTTTTATTTCTGAGCATATCAGTTATACAGGGATGGTGATGGATTAACCTTACCCTGAAATCAATATTGCTTTTACATTCCCTCCTTTTTGGTGTCTGTCTTAACTGTTTATATGTTTTTCTATAGGTTTTCATGTGTTTGTTCATAAAATGCTGGAGGAATGTGCTGTGCTTTTTGCAGGTCACTTCAGGGACTACAGACAGATGGGCAGACCATCCTTTCTGACACCTGGCTGATCAGCAGCACTGTTTGTTTGCTACATATGCTGATCAGATGTTAGAATTGTAGTAGAATAATTGATATGGTACTTTGTTGAACAATATATTATGTTCCTCGCAAGAGTGCATTTCTACAAATATAACATGTGCTTTACAGTCTCAGGGTTAAAGGGACAGTTCAGATGTTTTGAGGTGGGGTTCTATGGACATGTTGACATAATATCTCTGTTGCAGGACGCTTGACAATCATCTAGATGTTTGTGTTTGTGGTTACATTCCAGCTCTCATCTACCCTCAGCCAGGTGGGGTGGGGACAGTGTTTGATGACATATTTCACATATTTTTCTATAGCCTACGTGCAATGGTGTTTCACAGTTGTGGGGGCCCTTAGTGACTTTTACATATATGTTTTTCATATGACTTGAACCATCTTCAGGTTTTCCCACTGCTCTGATGCCTTGGAGGGGTTTCTGATTTCATTTTCAGCAGGGTGTCCTGACATTTATCAACTGCCTTGGCCCTGTGACCTTCCTGATATGTTCCAGGAGGGGAGTCTTTTTGCTGCTGACAGGTGTTGGGAGTGTGCGGAGCATCTCCTGCCTTCTTACTGGGGAGTGTGTTGTTCTAAGGAAGGAATTCTGAGGGTAGTTTTACGATGTTCATGACTTAGTGTGGGGGGAGTACTTTACTCAGGTGTTTTCATTTTTACTATGTAGATTGTTTCAAACTCTTTTCTGGGATCTACAATTTTTGCATCTTGGTTAATCAATGTTGCAGGTGTTCCATATGATGCTTTGTTAATGGATTATTCATTTTCATTAGTATTTACTTCTTTTTATATATTTTGGTTTCTGATTCTCATTTATCTTTCTACAGGCCTGTCACAGAGGGTTCTTGGCTCTGGAGGAGACTCTGGCAACCCCTGAATATTATACAGTCTACACTAGGTCCATCACACATAATGCCATGCCTACTCAATACTAGCATTGACCACTTTGCATCTTAAATCTCTGGTTTTGAATCGCCATTTCTGAAGTTCTCACATGTAAGGTTGACGCTGCATCTGGGTCTAATACCAACTGTGACTTTGATGTCAACTCCTGACGGCATCTGCATTAAATGAACGGTGCTGCCTCAGCCGTGTGGACTGACAGACATCATGTTCAGCTGAGACACAAGCTGAAATGAGTCATACCTGGGCTATGTGCAACGTTGTCCAGATGGGGACCTGGACTTCTCCTTGACCACTTCAAGTCAAGTCTCGCTGTCTATACAACTGTGGAGCTGCAAAAAGATGGACTGTTGAAATTAATCTCCAGAAGAAGGGGGGCTGGAGAATGATGTGACAGTGGTGGTCAAGCTGTTAAAAGTCACTAATGAACACTGCAGCTGGGGTGACGTGTCGGCTGAATATGTGATCTTCAAGATGGTGATGCAATAACCTCAGTTTCATGATCATTCCTGTCTTTGCTGTGACATGAACATACACACATACATTAATTCCTTCAAACATCTGTGACAGTTTAACACAGAGGACATATCTGACTGACACATGATCTTTAGACCTGCAAAGCTGTACTTCTGATGGGTTGCTGGATTACCCACCTTTTCCAATTACTCTTCAATTAAGTACATTCGTTTTTTTTCACCATGTAATCGTGTTAGAGCAAAACGCATGATTTATATCATGTCAAAAGGGGGAATTGAAATATAATTTCATCAGATAATACAAAGTATATTAAATTAATGAAATGTCTAGATATATGTATCCTGTTTTGATATTTAGAATGATATTGTGTTAAAACACGATTCGATTCCGTTTCCAGTAGAAAATGTAGTTTCAGTTACATGCCTACAACTCCCAACATTCACGCACCCACCCATTATAGAACACAAGATGGCTAGATATTATTGGTTGAGAGCTGGGTCACATGATAGAGTAGGACTTCCCATTCGTCGATGGTAGTGACGACTCCAGGAGGTGTGGCCGAGCTCTGAAGAAGATGGGTTGTCTGTTTACGTTCGGGGCCATTTGTTCGTGACCGCATGGTGGAGATACAATGGCCCAAGGCTGGTGATTTTGTACTTTACATGTAAAATAAACCTTCTAAAATGGAAGACAATTGTTCCTCCTCTCCCTGCTTCAGAACAGAACACATTCTTACAAAATTGTAATTTGTAGTCACTGTAACCCTATTTTGACTTGTGCACTGTCTTCTTTCACTTTTAGGTTTCTGAAGGCTCTGGACTGGTCCAGCTGTGGAGAGATGAGGTGGTACACCAGATCTGCAATGATCCAGTCTGTAAATGATGCTCTGAAGTCTGGTTAGACTGCTGTAGGACAAACTGACAACATTTCCTCATTCTCCTACTGTCTGTACTTGCTCTACTCTACCTGTTTGTATTTGTAATCATTTCTACATTAACATGTTTTTTGTCTTTCCTCCTATAGAAAGTACATCTGGACCTTTCATTCTGTGTTTGTCTATTTCTACTTCCTGTCTTCTCAAACCCAGTCTGACAAAGCAGATGGCCGCTTTCCTAAGTCTGGTTCTGCTGGAGGTTTCTTCCTAGTAAACTGAGTTTTTTTTCCTTTCCACCGTCTCTTTTGTGCTTTCTCAGGATGGGAGACTGTGACAAAGAAGATTCAACACAATCTGCTGCTTCCTTAGATAACTTTTACTAATTGGCTTTTATGATGTGAATGTTTCTGTACAGTGCCCTGAGATTAATTCAGTTGTTACTTGGTGCTATATAAATAAAATAAGTGAATTGAATTGAACTCAACAGTCACCTGTGATTGAGCATACTCTGATGATCCCCAGAGGACGACTCCTGACGCTCCCAGGGCAGCACTCTCTCCAATGGTGTGAACCAAGTCACTCTTAAAACAAATACAAATCATTTTAAGCATATGATTACTTTAGTCTTCTTATCTACTTTTTGGTTTGTGTTGTGTTAGGACACAGTGATTTTCTTCACCATTATAAGTTTTTACACCATTTCGTAACAGTTAGACACTCCTAACCATAAGAATGATATAAAACAAAGGCAGATAGCCAAATGCAAGACATGCAGTTTCATTACAAATTGAGGAAATAATGTTCTGTTGTAAAAATCGAAACTGTACCTCTGAAAGCACAACAAAGGTATAGGCATAGAATGGTCTGGAGTAGATGAAAACAGGTAACGTGAAATCTGTCCGTGTAATGGAGGCAATCCTCATAGCTTCTTTGACTCGATAGTGGACAAACTTGACCGTGTTTGGCGAGGACTTCAACTCATAATCTAGATAGATAGATGGATAGAGGGCTGTGCTCGCCTTCCAGAGCCACATCAGATGATCATTGCGGACATGCTCAATGTTGGGACATTCCCCAGTGTAGTGTTGTGGGTGTTGTTTGTAGCCATAGTTGTAACAGTCTGGGAACAAGTAAAACCCCCACAATCCGTTTGGCCTCCGAGCTTTAGCCAGCGCTAAGGTCAGATTCATGAAAGCTTGCCCAGCCCTTTCAAAACTTTCTTTTGCCTCCTTTTCAACTTTGCTTTCTGGCCAGTTTGGGTGAAGTTTTTTTATCTGTTCCTTGGACTTTTTGCGGTAAATGTCCTTGGAACCCCAATTTCGGACCCACTGAGGCCTCCAGTTCTCCCAGTCAATTACACCTAGGCCTCGAAAATCTTTGTGTGGAATAAACTTGTCAATGTCCACTCGGGCTTTGCTCAAATGTTTGGATATGCTCTGATTTTGCGGCAGGCCACCGTTGATGGCAACACCAGAACTGGAGTAGTATGGGTAGCTTCCCAGATGGCTGTGGTAGAATATGGTGACATTTGGTCCACTCAGCGTCTCGTTCAGGTTTGATATAATGTCAAAAATGTTGAGGTCCAAGTCCACCTTGAATCGTAAGCGACATGATTCTGTAGGAGCATTCCAGACTACAACAAATGGGCGATGAGGGATCAAAGGTGCTCGAGATGGTTTCATTTGGTCACCTCCAACTTGTAGCTTTACCCCAATTCCAACCAACAAGATCGGCATAAGGAGATAGGGCCCTATGAGCACCATGGTTGTTGATTCTTCATGGAACAATTATCTGTCCTACACAGAGCAAAAAAGATAATACTTGCTCAGAAATCAATTAAAGCTTCAGTGCACACAGATAATCAGCCAGGCATTGGAAAAAACATGTTAAAACATCCTGTTCTCAAAGAAAGGAGGATGATTGTAAAACAAAGCTGGAGATTCTGAAGAACCAAAGTTCTTCAAAGTTCAATGCAGTAGATTGTAAAAGTATTTATCCCTCTTGATGTTTTTTGTTTGTTTGCTTTTTGTTTTGCATTGCAACTTGGATATAAACAGATTATTTATTTATTTAAACTTTTATTTTTTATTTTACAAAAAATGAGAAATTTTACATTAAATATATATATTTTTATATTTCTAAAAACATCAAACTAAAAACTGAAGCATGTATATGTATTCAGACCCCAACTCTCCATGCTCTGTGTCACCACTGTAGCAATTACGAAGTCAGATGGAGGAAGAAGGGTGACACTTTCTCCATCAGCACTCCACTACATTTATTTTTATTTTTCACTCATTAAAGCGGGGCACCAGCTGGTCCGTTTATTGACCAAAAACAACTTGATTAATATATTCACCCTTTTATTAAGAACTCAATCACTGAAGTAGAATCCGTTAATTACAGGGAGTTCTACACCATAACAAATTAATATTCATCTGAATGAAGAGACCAAAGTTCTCTTCGAAATTTTATTACAAAAATAAGCAAATTAAGAATCAACAACAATAATAAACAAATGATAACGATTATTCAATCTAGGCTTAATTCTCTTATCTAAGGCAAAATTAAGTATTTGAGCAGGAATTGATTTGGTTTTGTACTTGCACAAATTTAGACAGAGTTTGATTATTTTAATAAATAGTTTACTTTGGGTTTCGGTTCAAAGAAGCTAATGAATGTGATCAGATAAGTCATTTATCACTGCAAGCCAGGAAATTATTTACCAAGTTGCAACAGCTAGCATAACCAGACCAAGAATTGTATCATGTCACCAGGTTCTGCTCCTTACTGGGTCAGTGTTGAAAGCACCAGATCACTCGTCTTTCTGGGGTCTGCTGGTGGATCAGGCCAGGATACACCATCAGGAGTACATGCCAGGAACTGCCCACGGTAGCTGAATGTCAGTGTGACCACTTCAGGGGTCTGTGAGGGCAACAGGTTATGAGAAGTTGCCATCCATCGGCACTTTCAGCAAGCTTAGACTTCAAGCAGAGAACATAAGTCTTGCAGTGAAACAAATGCTCCATCTTCTGTAACCTGATGCATGCTCAATAATCCAGGTAGAAACATCTAAAAACGTTAAATCTGGTCCTCTGGACGACACGTTTCATCTTTCATCCGAAAAACTTCCTCAGTCTGAGGTGCTGTATTCAGCTTAGTCTTATAAATAGCACCTTCTCAGAGTGGATCAACTAGTTTGCTGCTGACAACCAAAACCAGCTGATCACATGCTCAAGAAGGACCATCAGCCTAACAATGGATCATTAGCACCTGATGGCTGTTTACTGTTCACAGGGGGCTGAGTGATACTAGCAATAACAGCATTGTAAGAGGGGGACAGTTGAACCCGGAGGCCTCCACCCCTATAAAACTAGAAATGTGCCGCTCAAGGTGGCTGCATGTTGGAGCAGCTCTGTTACTTTCATTCTGAGATTTTGCTTTTGGAAACTTTAATTCCTCTTTTTCTGGATGTAAATCACATTTTTTGGATAATTGTTTCCTCTGGTATTGGATGCTGTGTAGCTGGAAGTATTTTTTACTGAAACTTTTTTAGTTTTGGACATTTGTTGTGATGTGTAACCATGGCAACAAGGCAGTTTTCTACAACCAACAGCAGCTGATTAATATCTCAAAAGCTCAAATAATATCTCAACTACAGCCACAAATCTCAAATGAGTTGAAAGGATGTTCTGTGGACGCATTCTCATCTACCTGCCAGCTGTGCTTGAGTGCCTGATCACTGAGATCCTGGAACTAGCAGGAAACACGGCTCATGACAGCGGAAGGACAGGATCGTCCCTCGGCACCTACAGTTGTCTGTCTGCAGAGAAGAGGAGCTCGGCAGACTGCTGGGAGGAGTGACCATCGCTCTGGGAGGAGTTCTGCCCGGCATACGGGCAGTCCTACAGCCTGAGGGAACCGAGAGGCCAGCCGAGTCTGGGTGGACGGATCGGACAGCATCTGCAGCCAGTTTCTTAGGATCCACTGTGGGATGGACCTTTACAAGAGATCCTTCCTGCCTACAGCCATCAGCATCTATAACATCTCTTAATGAAATGAGGTTAATGAGTTACAACAAATAATAGTTTCCCTTTGGGATTAATAAAGTATTTTTGAATTGAATTGAAATGAATTAATGATGGACGGTTTCTTCTCACAAAGATGGCCTCCTTTACTCTTCTCTCAAACCATTGTTCCTCTCTGTCCAGGATGTGAACATCTTCATCCCTGAAAGAATGATTGCTGACCTGGAGATGAGTGTAGTCCGCAGAGTCCTGGCCTGATGTTGTTGATCTTCTGTGCTGGGCCATCCTTTTGGCCAGTGGCTGTTTAGTTTCCCCGATGTAAGACTGATCACAGCCCTCCTGACACTGAACAGCATACACAATATTACTCTGTTTGTGCCGGGGGACTGGATCTTTGGGATGAACCAGTATTTGCCGTAATGTGTTTTGGGGTTTAAAAGCCACTGGGACATTATGGTTAGAAAATAAACATCTCATTTTCTCTGATACTCCCGCAACATACGGAATGACCACTGGTCTGGGTCTGGGTTCCTCCTTTTCAACCTGCCATTTTTTATATGTTCTCATGTGAACTTGATGTATTTATCCACAGAGTTGATGTGATCAGTAAAATGTTGGACTTCCTGAGATTTAATTTGAACCCAGGTGTCATCAACATACCTGAAACAATGACTTGGTGGTGTCCCTGAAAAGGACATCAAGGCTCTCTTTTCTACCTCCTCCATGTACAGGTTGGCAACAATAGGAGAAACTTGAGACCCCATAGCACACCCATGTTTCTGCCTATAATATTGCTCCCCATATGTGAAGTAGGTTGACTGTAGGCACAGTTTCAAGAGTTGACACAGTTGTTCTGTGGAAAGCGTGGTCCTGCTGCTCAGAGTGGTTTCTGATTTTAATCTTAAAACTGACCACCTCTACTGCATCATCAACAGGAATGCACATAAAGAGTGATGTGACATCAAAAGAGACCATTGTTTCATCAGTCTCCAGGATGATGTAGTGAACTAAGCCTGAGGTCAAATCCTGACCTTAAGGACCTTATGGGACAGAAACTGTCATTTCATTGATTTGAATCCAGAAATACAGGTTGACCCATCCTGAGACTTTCTTTCTTGAATTGATCAAGTGAAAGAACACTATTTTCTATTATCATTACTATTTTACAAATGTTTGATAATCAAAGTGTTTTTAGTTCAAACCATTTTTAGATGTTGCAGTGAACTAATAATTTTTAATTAACTGTGAAACAGTAATAATGATTTTAATCCTCATGCAAAGTATAAATCATGTTAAGGTTTGTTACAGAGTAATTATGCATTTTCTGATTTTCTGTCTTTGAATGAGCAGTGTAAGTTGGTCCAAGGTTGGAGTCAAACACAAAACAAGTTGTTGGAACGAACTGTCATGTTTTTAAAATCCTCTCAGACGTAAATATAGAGGCTGGCACCTGTTTTCCCCCAACTCGTCTAAATATTCCTCTCGTCTGTCTGAAAAACATTTTCAATCTGTTCCATAACATTCTTGCTGTTTTTCTGACTCCTAGTGACCTCTTACGTCACAAAAACACACCCCTGTCTGGTCGAAACGACCAATCAGGAAACTCCCAAATGAACCGGAAATAGAGCTCTTTAAATGTCGGTACTTCCTAGTTCAAACCAGTCGAGTAGGGTGGAGAGTTTGCAGCTCCAGTCGTTTGGGAGAACAGAAGTCCAGCATGATCCAGAGCTCTTCGAGTCTTGTGGGAATTATGCCATCTTCCACATCTGAGTGGAACTTCTGACGGACTCCACTCATGTGAAGTCCACTCGTGAGGTGAACTGTTGTTGATGAAGTCCCGCCACCACTCCGGACGGTTCTCTGCCATCCTACGGAGACGCTGGACCGGTAGCTTAACTGGAGCTCCGTTTCCACTGATTCATCGTCAGAGAGACGAGTCGAGTTTACTACCGAGCGTACTGAGGAAAGCTGGGTTCGAATGGAGGGTGCCGTTCTGTTCAACACTTTTCACTCACACACACCATCTCCCTCCCTCTAAACTTCATCTTTCCATCTTTAAAATTCTTCTATCCTGCTAGAAATCATTCCAGATATTTCCAAAAATGTCTGTGGTGAAGCTTGAGGTTTTCAACCATCGCCGTATGGTTAATCAAATTGTACAGCTTGCAAAATTAGCCATGTTGTTGTTGAAATCATTTTGCCAAATTAATGTAAATGTGTGATGTTAAACTTTGATTCTGTAAATAAATGACGCATTCATTTGATGGGTCAAAGAAAATTAACGTCTCACTATACATTTTATTAAATTCAATGCACGACATTATACAGTCTAGAAAAATGAAAGAATCTGTTTAATTTATGAATATATCATGCATATGTTCATCTACAATGACATCCCTCACATTATCCACAAAGTCCATGGTGTTCTGTATGTGATGTTCTGAACTGCCAACTAAATGGATGAGTACATACGCCAGGTATTTGGAAACATTGTAAGTGACTAAGTTAATCATGCTAACAATAGGTCTTAAAGGTACACCTTGTTTGTGGAATTTAGGTAAACCATACAGACTAGGTGTGGCCTCCCCTGGGTACAGTCTGTGGTACAGAATACGGTCAATAGCCTTGTCTTGCTCCAAAATTTTCAGGTAATCTATCAACATCTTCTTGTAGCCACTTCCTGGATCTCTTTTCAGAGGTTCATAAGTGGTTAAGTCACTAAGGAGTGTCATAAC